ACACCTCCATGCTCAGCTGAAGGATGAAGGAGACAGCTTGGGTCAAGGCTAGCCTACCCACCCTGCAAGGGGGAGGGGCGGGTTGCAGGGGAGGTGCAAAGCATCTTGGGATGCTGGGAGACTGAGTTAATTTTGATTCTGGAGCATTTTAAAAGTGGTTTATGTGCACTGAACTCCTGCTTTGTTACAGATTTGAACCAGTTTCTAGTCAGTTATACTAGTTTATGTGTAATTTCTGTCCCTAGCCAAATAGTAATATTATCAAAAGTACCTAAGTGACTTAACTCTCCTTTGCAAAAATCAAATTGCCATTAATTGTCAATGACGTTTAGGCTCCTAAGTGCATTAGCTACTTTTTCATAGATTCATAGATGTTAGGGTCAGAAGGGACCTCAATAGATCATCGAGTCCGACCCCCGGACTCGATGAATATGTGAATTAGAAACCTTAGTCACTTAGGATAAAATATTTTGAATATGTGAATTAGAAACCTGAGTCACTTAGGATAAAATATTTTGAATATGTGAATTAGAAACCTGAGTCACTTAGGATAAAATATTTAAATATACCCATTGCTAAAATTCTCTGGCTAGCATACCAGTTCTCTCTGCCACCTCAGGCCCTAGAGTTAGACCTTCTACATAGCTTAAGGCTTTGCTCTATAAAGGCTACTTCAGCCCAATGACTGTGAGGAGTGTGGCTGGGGGGTGAGGGTGTCAGTGGTTGCATCTACACAAGACACTGCTCAATAGCTCATTACTACTGTGCAGTAGCGTTACATGGCACAAAGTGTGATGTGATGCTACTGTGCAGTAGTAATGAGCTACTGCGCAGTCAGCATCACCTAAAAGTCATTTGACAAAACTACTGAGCAATAACTCCAGTTACTGCTCAGTCACTTACAAGCACTTGTATAAACAAGTTCTAAGTGACAGCGCAATAATGACTGTGCAGTCAGCATCTCATGTAGACTTGGCCAGTGGGTAGAAAAAAAAGGGGTGAAAAGCATTCAAAAAGCAATAGACCTTCTTGCCTTCTGTTCCAAGAACATGCTTGTGCAGGTAACTGCTCCACATCTCACATTTAGTTTCCCTGATCTGTTGCCCAGCTAGGTCTTTGGAGAGTTCAGGGGCTGAGTTGCATCCTGAGTGGTGTCAAGTCTTGAATCATCTTATTTTCCCTGTGCACAATACCAGAGGTCATGGATTTAAACAGCCCTTCTATTGTGTTTCAGGAGCTATCTAGCCACTCTGCTGGCTTTCGGTTTATTTCTACAGACGTGTGGAATGAGTGCAGCTATGGAGTCTAAGCCAAATATACTGCTACTAATGGCAGATGACCTGGGCATTGGTGACATAGGTTGCTATGGCAACCATACTATAAGGTAAAAGTTCTCTCAGTACTATATGTGTCTATGTAATTGAACTAAGCTTTTAATTTGTTTCTTTTAAAAAAGCATAAAATAAGAAGGGCTTCTGCCTCAATAGCAGTCCAAGACCACTTCAGTTCGTATATACACATCTTCCTTAAAGTCTGCGGAGCTATTCACAGATACAATTTAGCACAGATATGTGTGGACTTACTGAAATAAACAAGATAAAGAGAAACAGGGAAAGGAAGCAAAATCTGATCTAATATTATTCTTGCCACTTTCTAAGTTTTAATATATATTAATTCTCCAACTACTTGCCTTATAATTATGCTCTAGCCCTTGCATAACTCTTTAAATATATCTTACTCTTCATCTATTTGTATCTATGTGCAGGCCCCACGCTTTCCACACTACACTTTTCCTCTGTCCCTTATTTATTCTCTTTCTCCTTCCTTCCAGCCACATGATGCCTCTCTGACCTGGATCATGTATGTTGGCACTGACTATGTACTGCTGAGGCATGGCGCACATATACTCTGCCGCTCCAGGGGGAAAATCTCTGAGACTTGACCTGGAGCAGAAGAGTATTTGGAGTACATCTTCAGAACCTGTTGATACTTTTCAGTTCCCCTCCTCCTCTTGGGAGAACAGAGCCCTTTAGCAGTCAATCTTTGAGGCTTTTGCTTGATGTGATTGTGCTGGGGTCACAGGGAGGAACACTACAGTCATTCAGAACCCACCTGATGGTGAAGACAGGAGGATCTGGGAGGCCAGTTTTCTTTCTATTGCTTCTACATACAGGTGTCCAGGGAGAGTTAGTATGTATTACCATGTAAATATATTCTTATATGCTACAATAGATGGGATGCATTCCTAGCATAGAGTTCCAGGCACCAGAGAAAAGGTTTGAGGTCAATAAATTATGAAATGCCAGGATGCAAAATAGTTGCTAAAGGTCATCTTTGCAAATCTTAGACTGAGAAATCAGATCTTCTTTACATTCTCCTTAAACATGTTACTTCAGGAGTTTCAAGTTTGCAGATCACATAATATTTGAAGCCAGTGGCCTGATGTAGAGTTCCCACTACAAACAATATTTTCCTTCAAGGATGAATTTCTCCAGCCTTAATTCTCCAGCCATTAAAGTCTGTTCACCTTTTGAAAGAAACACATTACCTGTCATAAACCTGATGATACAGGAATGCTCTCAGGGATACCATCTGAAAGACTTACTTGTCTCACTTACCAGTATGCTTCAGTTTCTTTTAAAATGTTTTATGTTTGTTTCAAGTTTGTTTCAAGTTCATCCCTCAGCTTGCTACCCCACTGCTTTAACATGTCTCTGTATTTTTTAGGACCCCAAATATTGACCGTCTTGCGAAGGAAGGAATAAAACTCACTCAGCATATTGCTGCAGCTCCTCTTTGTACCCCAAGCAGAGCAGCCTTCCTGACTGGAAGATACCCCATCAGATCTGGTTGGGCACATATGCAGTGATACAATGCCATGAAAAGAGTCTAATAAGAAATTAATAATCTGATTGCCAATTTTGAACATTCTATTATTTTACTCTATTTTACTCTATTTTCAGCTGCTGATTGACACATTGTCGTAATATGTTTGCTACATGAAAGTCACAAAGTTGTAGGAGAAACAAGAAATTAGTCTATTTTAGGTCAACAGGTTGCACAGGAACAAAGGGCTGTTATCAGATGTGGCTAAATGTGGCTTCTCACTATGATAACTTCATGCTATAGAGAGGACAAAATGTTGTAGCTTTTCAAAACATTGCTGATGGCTAATTGATTTTTGAGATCCTGCCAATCTCTTTAAAGGAACTTGCCATGCTGCTGCTGTTTTTGCATGGGTACATCCAGATACACTCTTATTTGCCTCTTGGCTGCAGAACTACATTTGAAGAAGTTTCCTCTGAATGCCAGAACAAAGTGTTTCAGGATAGCTCTGGCACAAGTTACAGTCTGTCGGATTCTACATTTATCTCTTCTTGCATAGCACAGTGTAAACCAGAAGGGGCCAGGCTTCTGAGGCTTAACTAACTTTTATGAAGAATTAAAGAGTTTTAGACAAAAAATCTGTTATATATCTATTTTAGATACCCAATATTGATTTTAAAATATATGAGGGCCACGTACCATATTTTAGATACATAAAATATCTAAAATATATGTTCCCAGTATTATAACATCAGAATGTCTCAAAATCTTTAATAAAATTGTCCTCAACCCCAATGTAAATAAATGCTGTTATCCCCATTTTACCATTGGGAAACTAAAACACCATGAGATAAGGTGGCTTTTGTAAGTATACAGAAGTCTGTGATAGGACAGGGAATTAAATCCAGGATTTACAAACCCAGATTAACACTGTAATTTCTTGGCCATTCTCTTTGTCTGATGCTGAAAGTGGTGCCAATCTGGTTTATCTCTCACATAAAACTCCTTAACTCTCTCATGTAATATACATGTTGCAATATACAATGCAAATTCCTACCCTGATCCAATAAACGTTAATGTATTAGCTTTTATTTTTGGATCTTGATTCTGCTTATTTGCATGCTTAATTTTACAACTGTGAATGGTCCCATTGGCTTCAAAGAAAAGGAGCTTTATGAAAAAAAGGTGGGGGGAAAGCAAGTAAAAAAATAACTAAGTTTATTGTATCATATCCTGCAGGCATGGCTTCAGATAATAGGTATCGAGCTCTTCAGTGGAATGCTGGCTCAGGAGGGCTCCCTGTGAATGAAACCACTTTTGCCAAGCTGTTGCAAAAGCAAGGTTACACCACAGGACTTATAGGTAGGTTGAAACATTTCGTATCGGGAGGGTTTCTGTCATAAATGTTCTAGTCACAGTACCTGTATATAGTAAAAACTATGGGCTATTGAGGCTTGTGTTTTTGTTACTTGATAATGTAAGCATACCACCAAACAGATTATAAATTTAAAAAAAGGTCCATGAGGTGGCATGAGTACTATAATTGAAACATATGAGCATTGTATTCAGCCTGGGAGCCTTTCCAAACTTATAACAGATCTCTTTCAATGCTCCCTTTTATGTATAAATGTACATCCAACAAAATTAATGGCTTTAATTATTGAATTTATCTTCACAGGGCAAGGGCAACTAGAAATTAGCCCAAAGGAACCTATTAACTGAAAGTAGGTGGTATCTGACTGGCTAATATAACATTTTGTTTGGTCAGAGGGCCCAGCTGTTTTCAGAAACAGCTTATTCTATTTCAGGGTTATTTAGTAACATTTATAAAACACTTTGAAAATGTAAATTCATATCTAAGTCCTACCTCCCCAATGTCCCCTTGATTTCACTAGAACAGTGATTCTCAATCAGGGTAATACAGAACCCTTGGGTACCAGGAGATCCTATTGCCACACAATATTAGCAATCTTAGGTGTGCAAACACACACACATGATTCAAAAGATAAGCCCAAAGATTTCAAATAGGAATATAGCATCTAAAACACTTTGACCTGTTGTGGTCTGAGCTCTTTGCAACAGAAGAATTGTTCTATTATTTTTCCATAGTCGAGACATGAGGTGCCTTGAGTCTAAAAAGGTTGAGAACCATGGCACTAGAAGTTGGGCACCTAAATACTAGGCCTGTGCGAAGTGACTAATATTCATTTCAGATTCAGATATGGCCAATTTGGGGGACAGTGATTCAATCCGGTGTTTCAAATCATTGTCCCGAATCAATTCAGCTGAATCTGATTCGGAGATTTGGCCGCCGCCGAACTGGCCAAATCTCCAAATAGAATAGGCCCCACCAACCAACCGCTCTCCCAGCACAGTCAATAACTGCCCCGCCCATCCCCAGCATCGGCTCTTAAAAAAAAAAACGGGAAAAAAAGCCCCGCACTCACCAGTTCCTGCCATGCAGGGGCGGGGGGATCTCCACTACAACCCACTGCCCTGTGCTGCATGGGGGGCTCTGCCACAAACCCCCAGAAGCCCTGATGGCTGGTGCAGCAGGTCATGAGTGCGGGGAATTTTTTTTTTAAAGAACCAGGAGCTGGGGCTGGGCAGGGAAGCCATGGGTGAGCAGGGGGGCTGGGAGAGCGGGCAGGGGATGGGGGCTTGTGGCAGAGCCCCACACACAGTGCAGGGCAGTGGGGGGCAGCGGGGATGGGGCCTGGAGGGGGTCCCCCCATAGTCCCCTTCCCCCTCCTCTAGCACCCCCCTCCCCGTCTCCTACTTACCCGAATGGAGTCCAGGTCGAGCTCCCTGTGGCAGCGAGTGGGGACTGCCCAAATCTCCAAAGCTCTATGAATCTTTTCCAAATCAATTTGGAGAGCTTTGAATTGATTTGGACCTTTTTGTTGATCTCCCAATTTGATGCGGATTCAGAGATTTGGCTACCAAATTGGGCCGAATCTCCTCTGAATCGAATCAGCACCCAAAGCTTCGCACAGCCTTACTAAATACTGTTATGGGTTTGAGCCTAAAAGTTTGATGCTAAAACATGCAAGTCAAATTATTAGTACTGGGCCTCTCACCGCCTAGTGATACTCAGTTGGAAAAGTAGGGGTTTCATTATGTACTGGTTCATATATTCTGAGGAGGAAGAAATGTGTTGAAAAATCCCAGATTTTATGTATTTACATATATACTATAGTAAAGCAAATAATGAATATGAGTATATGAGAGACAAGAAGAAATGCCAAATAAAATTACATGGAACCAATAAACTGTGTTTGTGGGTAAATCTTCCAGAATAGACTATTTGTCTTTTCATTAGAATATTTTAAAAACAGTCTATATGCACTTACTTAAATCTTAGCAATATAGATTGTAACTTAGGCAGGCCTATTTTCTTTAGACATTCAGTGGACTGGTGTGTCAGTCCAGTCCAAAAATTGCTATCCAAACAATTTACCAGTCCTCTATTTCTTCAAGCTGCTGTTGCTTTTGATCTCAGATGTACATGGGTCCTTTCATGTAAATTTCAGGTAACTGTAGAGGAAAAACAGTGATTCATTCTGCTTCCCTTTCTTCTCACTTTTCCTTTCACCCTTCTTACCAAAAACATTCCAGTATCTATGCCTATGTACAATATTCATAGATGCAGTCAGCATTGCTTTATTTCCAACAGATTCACACTTCCACCAATGTCTGAAATTATGTTAATGTTTTGAGAAGTACATGTTTCAGTGGAACTTGCATGGTCATTAATGAAACATTTCAATGATGATTCTTTGACTGGGTTTTTCTTTTGTCTCACTTGTGTTCATGCAGTTTGGCCTCTGCTCATTAGTAATTGTACCAAATCAGCTATTAGATAAAAGTGCCAAAAAAGCCCCACTGAAGCGCTCAATCTATACACATGTTGGGCAAGCCAGTCAACTAACACAATGCCTCTTCTGGGCATGCACTCAGCTCAGCACAGAGACTCACCAAGTTTAAGTAAAGCACTCTATTTTTTTTTTGTCTATAAGCCGCCTATGTCCCTACATTAGGGGAAGGCCTACATTTATTTAGGACTGACCTTGAGCTCATTTTAAATCAACCCAAACTCTATAACATCTTTCCCTCATGTACATCATACTTCTAACCCACATCAAACTTATCCACATTGTGCTTCATATTTTCAAATCTAAATTCTCTCATGCTATGTGAAGCACAGGTCCTTTAAAAATCAGTCTCTGGAATATTTATGTCTTTTTGTGAGATTGTCACTAGCAGAGTTTCTGTGCTTGAGGCCAGCAGTAACTTGAAAGGTTGTGACACTGCCTGGAGGGATGGGCAAGGAAGCAAGCTTCCGCAGCACTGACCTCATACCTAATCCTTTGAATAGCATCCAGTCTTGGGGTGAACTACTGCTGGGGATCAAGCATAAGAATTTATGCTATGGATGGTCAACAGACATGGGTTTGTGGTCAACAGACATGGGTTTGAGGCCAGTCATAAGCTCTCAACTGAAAGTTAGGGTCAAGATACCCTTGGATTACCATGAAAAGTTCTCTTGTTAGGCAATGCTATGGGTCTTCATATGATCTACTACTGTTCAAAATTGAAAGACTTGTAGATTGATATTCGAAAATGGATTAAATGTTTTTATAGAGAGATATCTGTCCAGATTCTTTAAAGAAATGCCATAGTGTTCTGACATGTAATAATGATAATCACTTTCAGTGTGTGGACAGATAAATAAAGTACATCAAATTCAAAAGGGGCAGGAATTTATTGTGCATCATCTATTCTGCATAACTCTGAGTCTGCAGTTGACTCCTCAGCAGATGTCTCTACACATGCAACTAGGGAGGCTTAATAAACTGCATTGCAACCTGCCAACCTGGGGCTGCTCCTACCTGGCTCAACATGCTGCAGAGGTGCTGACTGGGGCATGAGAGTGCTCTTGTGCAGGGCTAGCCAGCAGTCACCATTTACAGCTGCATTGCGGCAGAGTAAATAAGTCTACCATAGGATAGTACTTGTGTCTAACAGTACTGTTCTATGGAAGAGTTTAATTAGTTTACTAATAGCACTGCATGTGTAGACACTAATGTTTTACTGAGCTGCTAATTAGTCAGCTTCATAGTAAATGTCTTGTGTAGATACACCCAGTAAGTGAAAGATAATCTGCAGTAGTGGTTTACTAGAAGTGAAAGATAATCTAACACTAGTGGTTTACGCTTTAATGATAAGGAGCTAAAACTACCATGGTTTAGCTTTCCCTAACCATGGCTGAGGTGGGAACATGAAAAATTGCACAGAATAACAAAACATTTCTACCCTCTTCTAACTTGATATAATATCTTTCTTTGTTCGCAATCTTAGACTCCTTGTGTTACTATGACTTCCAGCTCACTGTTTTGGCTGCTATAGAAGTCTTGTCAGTTGCCAGAGTTAGATTAGGAATGGACATGTTTTAAGCAAAAATAAGCTAAATGGGATAAAGATAAATCACTGACCCAAATTTAAATACAGTATGTATCTTTAACATCATCCATAACCATATGTTACCTCAACACTGATTATTTTACTGTAATCTTGAGTATTCCATTTTACATTGCTCTTGTCTGAAAATGATTTTTTTACTATCAACAGTGTGAACTATTGTTTAGTTAAAACTCAACAACCAGAGGTTTATGGTGTGACTATTTAACTTGTTCCTATGATATTTTATTAGGATACTTAAAGCAACCTATTTTTATCTCTGTAGGTGGCCTTGTTCAAAACACAGCCCAGGCAGTTTCATGATAAAAGCCATGCTATTGAAAATGTTGGTTTGAATTTGCCCTGCATTTTATTTTATTGCTGTCATTAAATAATTCTTGCTATTAACAAAAATATACTGTTTCTTAACAGAGAAATTAATAGTAAGTACATATATTCAGGACTGCATGCTGGTATGTGTTTGGCAATAGTGAGTCTTATATTATCATCTTAATGGTTTTGGAATGAATTTGGAGATGTGGAATGTTATGTATAACATCTCTATAAATCACATGTATATAGTCCTAAATAATAACATGAGGAAGCCATTGATTTTGCCTCTGAGTTTTAGACCTGCATATGGGGATATATTTTTTCAAGAGCAATTAAAAATTGTCGCATGAAATCACTTCCTGATTGCAATTAAGAGCAATACTGGCACATAAGATCCTTTACTAAGAACCTGGTCTATTTTCATCTTTGTAGACATGACTGGTAGCATTAGCTATTGTTGACTGCTTCTTTTTTAATTTAACCTGATTTTAGTAGACAACCATCAACCTTTCTAGATCATCTTGTATTTGTAAGAGGTCACCAGGACCTCTGACACCAAGGCAGGAGTATGGAGTAGTGGAGGCTGCCCAGACCTTCAATCCCCTCTTTAGACCGTTGAGACAGTATCCAAAGGCCAGAATGAGTCCAGATGTTTGGGGCCCTCAATGGCTGTAGTTATATACACATCCAGGAATCAAACCTTGGTCTCCTATATGGCAAATAAGGATTTTATGAATGAACTACAGCAGCAAGCTATGCCTGATTAAATATTTGAAAAAAAAGCAGCCAAAATGGAGTGGCCATTTCTGAGAATACCACTAAGGAAAATACATAATTTTGTTTAAAGAAATTTGTAACTACGAGATGAAGTTCAGAGGGGTAGAGTATGCTGTGGAAGAAGACTGGGATAGGAAGTCTAAGCTGAGGAAATAGTTAGGTGAGGAGAATGAGACAGGGACCCAGGTTGAAGAAAAGACAGGACTGGGATAGGCATAGACTGGAAGGGAAGAGGCCAAAGCAGTAAGTGTTGGAGAAAAAAAACACAATGTTTTTCGTTTAAAATAGCTGCCTTATATGTTAATAATTCATGTTTTTTAAATTTTAGGGAAGTGGCATCAGGGTGTGAACTGTGAATCCCTCAATGATTACTGTCACCATCCTTTAAACCATGGATTTGACTACTTTTATGGCATGCCATTTACTCTTCTAAATAACTGTCAGAAAAACAAACTTCCAGAGCTAGATGCAGCTCTTCAGGCCAAGCTCTGGTTTTATACTCAGGTAATTGCCCTTGCTGTGCTCACTGTTATCACTGGAAAAATTGTTGGCTTGTTCTCCACCAGCTGGAAAATAGTCACCTGCATGGCCTTAGCTGGTTTTCTTTTTTTCACACTCTGGTTCTCAAGTTATGGCTTTGTCCAATATTGGAACTGTATCCTGATGAGGAACTATGACATTACTGAACAACCAATGAAGTTGGAAAGGACAGCTTCTCTCATGCTGAAGGAAGCAATTTCATTTATTGAAAGGTAACTGAACTTTGTTTTTCCCTTAAAAAGAAGAAATAAATAAGAGCTTGAAATAGGTCTAGATTTCTGCAAAAAAACAGTGGCTGTTTCTAGCCAACTATTCTCAAATATTTTTGAGCCATACAACAACTATATCTGCATACAGATTTGATTTAAATAATCCTGTAATATGAACTACTGGAGCTTTTCAAATGAGAGGGTTTAACCAGGTGATGTATATGCCATGAGCTAGTTTTCAAGTTTAATTATTTGAAGAAAACAGTGAAGTATATGCCCCAAAGATATCAGACAAGCTCTAAACTAAATATATCTCTTCATAGAATCATAGGAAATTAAGGTTGGAAGGGATCTCAGGAGGTGATGTAGTCTAATCCCCCGCTCAAAGCAGGACCATTCCCAACTATATCATCCCAGCCAAAGTCTGTGGGATTGTGTGAGATGCAGGTCACTGAAGAGTTGAGCTGACACTGGATATACATGTAACCTAAATGGAAAGGTTTTTCAATGGGAGGTGTGTTCCTAAGTTACTGACGGTATGTCTACACTACTTGGGCAATGCTTCTCAGGGTGCCCCTTACAAGCACTTCTGAGGGTGCCCCTCCAACTACCTACTTCTGCTCTATATCTGCCAACCCTGGAATGACTCAGTGTTGGCCTGGAGACCATCTTGTCATGCACACCAGATACCTGACCATCATGCCAAGCGTACCATATACAGAGAGCTTGGGAGTGATATCAGGGAACACCCTGAGGGTGGCTTTATTGCCTCATTTCCAGGTTTCTTAAATTTTCCAACTGCACAATAATTAAATAACTTTAATTCTTTACAAAAACAAGCATAGGCCATTCCTCCTTTTCATTTCCTGTGTACATGTGTGTAGAGGAGTAGGGGTTAGATGGAGCCATGCATCTCAGCAGCATTTTGAAGAGCTCCGTGGAAGTGTTATAGGCATACCCCTCAATAGTACTGAAAACCCTATCCTATATAATGCACAATAGTAAGATGTTTATGGACAATTTGTAATAGACTGCAGCATGGCAGCTTAGACTGTCTCTGGCAGTCTAAGTGATACTATTGTGATATGGGACTGCAGCAAACAGTACAGTCCAAAAATAGCCTACAGTCTATTGCCCATGCTCTTTGTCCTTCACTTTCTCTTTAGAGGATGCTTTTTATGTTTCCATACCTCCCACTTCCATTGCTACTGGCCCTACATCCCCTCCTTTTGCTTATAGACATATAAACTCTGTCTACCCAGCCTCTCCTGCCATGTTGTATCAAACAGGCTTCTCTCTGGTCAAATACCACATTTCTCTTCCAACTGTTCTTGTTTTATGTTCCAGCCAGCAGTTGCATGGCTGCTCTATCTCAGTCTCTGACTATTATTCCTATTCCCACCTAGACATCATTATTCTCCATGGAAACATGCTCTAATTAACCATATGGTATCTATCAATTAGCCCACCACATATACTATTCTATCTCCTTTGATGGCTCATCCACCTGAGTGTCCATGGGGAAACAAAACCCCCATGAAGCACATAGATAACTGTACAGTTCTGTATGTGCCAGGGAAAATGATTTAGACAGTAGCAGAAGCACAAGGGAGTGTGAATCTGTAGGCCAGAGTCTAGGGAGGCTGGCCTTAGGTTCTGGTCCTACATGAATTTTACATGAATTGGTCATTGTTTTACAAGAGAAGAAATAAACCTGCCAGCAAGGACTGGAAACCAGAGATCCCTTTCCAAATCTGGGTCTCATTTCCCTTCATTGAAGGGAATGAAGTTAGGAACCTGATTCATAGAAGCACTTTTGTAAATAGTAGTATCTATTTATATATATCTTTGTAAGATCTTTGTAAAAATTTGGAAGATCTTTGTTAAAAAACTTTTCAAATGCCTACACTTTTGAGACTGAGATTATGGCTCCCTGTCTACCCAGGTGAAAATTGTACACTCCTTGATATATAATATATAATGATGACCTTCAAACAATGAGATTTCCTTCGGCCTAGTTACTGTATATCGTGTGTCCCTCTCATTTCCTTATTCAGCTTACAGCTTTCCAGGTCTTTATTTTCTCTTTGATATAAGTACTGAAAATCCTTAATTCTCAAAGAGGTAAGGCCCACAAATTTAGATCTAAGATGATGTTACCTAGGAATTATTGTAAGCCTCTGAAGAACAAGTTCCCTTTGCAAAGTATGCTATCCCTAGTGTAATTAATGTTATCTGGTGTGGACACTAAGAGAAATGTTGCCCTGCATGGGCTAAGATGACATTGGTGGTGTCATTGTGGCCCTAGACAGAAAGTAAGTGTTTGCATATATGAATATAAATGGCTCTAAAATGTTCCAAATGCACAAGAAATAAATAATTGTTTAATTCTTAAAGAAACAAGAATGGAACATTCCTCCTCTTCATTTCCTTTTTACACGTGCACACCCCCCTTTACACCACAGAGAAATTTCTTGGGAAAAGCAGACATGGCATATATGGAGATAATGTAGAAGAAATGGACTGGATGGTAGGTAAGTGCTCTTTGTGGAAGAGACTCCCTTTAAACAGGTAGCATTGGATTTTAGCCATAGAAAACTAATGCTAAGTGTTTAAAATAGTAGAAAGGTATATTTCTGCTAGGAGGAAGAGGATTCATTATTTATCCTTTAGCCATTTTAATTAATGGGCTTAAACTTTGTGTGAATTTGTTTAATACTAGACATTACTGTCTGTCTTTCTGTTTACCCTAATTTTTAAGGCAACATTCTTGATGCTATTGATAAGGAAGGTCTGAAAAACAGCACTTTCACTTATTTTGCCTCTGACCACGGAGGACAATTGGAGGCACAAGAAGGAGAAGTCCAGTTAGGGGGCTGGAATGGCATATATAAAGGTAAGAAAGGAAAGGTATGACCCTTTTAATCTGAAAAATGCAATAAAAATGTAATTTTGCTTGACTAGGAAGGATGGCATGGATTCAATATACAAGCATTATATATTACCTGGGACTGGAAACTTCATCTCTCTGTGCCTTATCTTTCCATTGTATAAAATGGAATTATAATACTTACCTAAGAAGGGATGCCCACTTAAAGCCTATAAATCATTTCTTGTTATCCATACAGAAAGTGCCATAAAAATGCAAAATATTTAAATTAAATTAATTACTAACTGTTTTTTTGTTGAATGTGATGATGACATGGAAGAATAAAAGAAATAAAACTTTCTCTTTCGAGAGTATAATCTCTTGAAGATCACAAACTGCCCCCTAATATGGGCAAGCCTGTAGATGGTGATGCTTTACTTCAGAGCTAATTAGTCAGCTCTGCAGTAAGGTGTATGTGTAGATGCACATGTAAAAGCTACAGAGCATCAGTGCCAGATATAACATTTGTAAATGTTTTCATTTATTAAACTGGAGTTTGTTCCAATTTTGCAGCCACAATATTTTAATGTAGTAATTACACAATGTACCACCACAAGCAAAAATTTCAAATTCTAGGTCCATGGCTTCTGAGACCACCTGCCCTGAGGGAAGGGAGAGAGACTCTTTCTGGCTCTTACATAGGCATCTAGGTTTTGATTCATGCTACTACATGGAGAGTAGCTTTCTTCACCAAGTTTTAGGATTGATTAATGAGCCTCATGAGATTTAAGCCACAAACAAGATTATAACAATAAGCAGCTTAAAAGAAGTGGAAATGTAGTAACTACGTTCAGAGTGTTCAGCTGTATCACAGTGAACCACTTTTCTTTGGCTCTAGACACTTAGAGAGATGCTTGGTATGTGGAGAAATAGGTTTTTCTATCAGTATCTGGCTGGTCCCTCTGTGTGTGTTGGAGGAAGGAAAGAGGGTGGGGGGAGGTATATTTGGAAAATGAATTTGGTTGAAAGGGAAATGTGACAAGTTTATATAATATTCAAAAGGCAAGGATGCCTTATGGTAACATGGAAGATATTGAAATCTGTCACTTACAATGGAAAATCCATAACCTAAAGAAAGCCAGACTACACAGTAGCATCCTCTTAAGCCTGTACAAGGAACATAACATCATCCCAAGGGAACACATCATCTGCAACCCTCTAGCTAACACACACAGTTACATATATGCAACACAAATATGCAGGAGAACTTCAGAAAAACTGAAAACAATCTTCACCTAACCTACTTCTACATAGTTGGTCCAATAAAAGATATCCCCTAAGAAATCCTTGCCTCTGATATAATTTCTAGACCATCATGGCTATCACCACCACTCTTCCACTACTGTAATATTCCAAGCATTTGTTATGGTCTTGAATTGTGTAGGATAATTATTTCAAAACCACCAAAGTCTGGAACTTCAATCTCATTTTTAAAAGTGAAATGGGCACTTAGGATGTAGGCTCCTAAGATTTCAAAAGTGTGTGTCCATATCTCATTTTTCTCTTATAACCAAATGCAACCTATCTGTATTCAACTATGAATTAAAATGAGGAATGAAGCTTTTACAGCTTAACATTTAGAAATATTTAATATATTCTTTAGACTTGAGCATCCCTGCCCCTTCCATGTCTGTTGTGCAATTAAGTTATTTAGTAAAGAATTTCATCACCCTTAATCCTAAAAAAGCTACCAGATAGCGCACAGTATGCCATGTGAAGAAAAAGGAAAAAAAATCTTACTGATGAATAGAATATACTTTAAAGTTGTTTATTTTTCTACTCCTTCCATTGCCAAAACATAAAATCCAGCAGATCTTAATGATACACATGTTCCTAATTTCATGGCTGGATTTTTTCTTCTGTGTTCTGTTGTGTGCTCTGAGCTCTGAAATGTGCGGAATTAAAATTTAACCATGAAATATTAAGCCTTAGAGATGAGCAATGTGTTACTGCCATCTGTTTGTAACTTCATATACAACAAATTATACGGATAACTTCTAGAAAGATTCATAATTGTCATGTGTTGCTTCTCCAGGTGGGAAAGGCATGGGAGGCTGGGAAGGAGGGATCCGTGTGCCAGGTATATGTAGATGGCCAGGAGTTTTACCTGCTGAGACAGTTATTGATGAACCTACAAGCCTTATGGACATTTACCCCACAGTTGCTTACCTGGGTGGAGGAACAGTGCCCCAGGACAGGTATAGTAAACATGATGACAGTGTCACTTCCTAGATTTTTGCTCTATTTTACTTCATAGGCTAAGTACAGACAGTGAAAAAGCCGGAGGCTGAATTGCTTCAGTCTTTACGGTCTAAAATGCATGGATTTAACCAATAAGCAAGTGAATAGACATTCACTTGTGATTCTGGAAATGCAGCCACATGCCTGCAGTGGCCCAGGGCAGAAGCTGGGGGGGCGCTAGAACACACCTCCCTCCTTGGCTGGCGTAGACAGCTTGAGCCAAAACTAGCTTGCCCAGCCTGTGAGGGGGAATTTGTGGGGGAGATGCAAAGCATTCTGGGATGCTGGGGGATGGTGAGTTAACTTGAATCTGGATGGGATCTGGGACAGAAGTTCAATAAACCCATTTGAGTCTAAATCAGTTAAGGCCGATACTACATCCATTCAGGTGTATCTTAAACCAGTTTGGGCCATTTTGAAAGTGGTTTATATGCACTGAACTTCTGTTGTATTACATATTTGAACCAGTTTCCAATCACTTGTACTGGTTTATGTGTAATTTCTGCCCCTAGCCATAGTGTGCCATACGTGAGCTTTGATGCTCTGAACTTCTGCTGTGCTCATGTGTAAGGTAAACTGTCACAGAGGGTCATAGTATGCCGCCTATGAAAGACCTCTAAGGAAGGAAATATTAGGAACCTTAATAGTTCAATAAAACTAATTCTAAATTCAGATTGTTTACATACCATTAAAAGGGATGAACCTGATTCTCTCTCTCTCTCTCTCTCTCTCTCTCTCTCTCTCTCTCTCTCTCTCTCTCTTTTAATAGCATTTTATTTAAAAGGGATTTTAAATGTGTTTATTTCCTAACAACCATCCCAAATGGCCAGATAAATGTATAAACAAATTCTAAATCTAGTGAGAGTTAGCTCTAAGAGTTCTCAAATACACAAAACATAATAAATACAAAATTCATTGCTGCACAGCTTATCTTTTATTCTACTTCTTTTCATCACCTTAGGGTAATTGATGGCCACAACTTGATGCCTTTACTGCAAGGGAGAGTTCACCAGTCAGAGCATCAGTTCATATTTCACTACTGTGGGTCATATTTACATGCAGTGCGGTGGCACCAAAAAGACAGTAAGTATAAATACTCTTTCCAGGATGGATGCAAACTCTAGCATATGTTTCCTCTTTGTAACTACAGCAGCATTCGTACAGTATGCAATAGCATCATCAATTTGATAGATGTTTCCTGTAATATTTTTCACGCACAGTCCAAAATCTGCTGTCTAGGTATTGACTGATGCTCAAATGGAGAAGCCTTATGGCACAAGAGTATTTACAAGCTATGTAGAGAAAAGGCATTATAGGTAGTTTAGTGAAAACAAAGACTGTACTATCCTGCATTCACATTTTTCATATCTAAATTATCTATTGTCTTCAAAATCTGTGTCATGTATAAAGGGGTTAAAAGTTTGTAAAACTTATATTTTTCATGGTAGGTGGTTTTGTCTGCATTTTGGGGGGCTTCTCTTAAAAATTGTTCTGCCATTTTATACCCTCTTCTAGTCACTCTATATGGGTTTTTTCTTTCCAGGCGGCATACTATGGAAAGCTCACTATGTGACCCCAAAATTCCACCCAGAAGGTGCTGGAGCTTGTTATGGAAGAAGAATTTGCCCATGTTTTGGAGAAGGTGTAACCCACCATGACCCTCCTCTGCTATTTGATCTCTCACAAGACCCTTCAGAGACCAATCCTCTGTCACCTGGCACTGAACCCCTATTTGACACAATAATGAGTAGAATAGACAAAGCAGTAACAGAGCATCGCAGGACACTGACTCCAGTCCCTCAACAGCTCTCTTTATACAACATTATATGGAAACCTTGGCTGCAGCCCTGTTGTGGGACATTCCCTTTCTGTTGGTGTGATAAAGAAGGTGACAGTGCACATGACTCAAAGTGAGTTGCAGTTGACAAAAATCCTGTAACAGCAAATGCTTTGCTACAGCCAGCCTTTAATAACATCATTTCTGAATAGCATGATATCTTGGGCCAAATTATACCTAAAATAGCCATCTCTACCCCCTCCTCCCTCTTTCTTCTCCCTAAGGAATTTAGTAACTAGAAGCCAAAGACTGGGCCTTAGCTCTTCCCACTTCTCCCTCTCCCACTAGTAAATGTACTGTGGAAAGCACTTTCTATGTGAAAAAGAACCTTCAGAGACTGGGTTCCTAAATATGAATTTTGAAGCCTAACTTTAGGCATCCATTTCCAATAGAAAATTGGCCATAGTGCATCCAAATATATTGGTTTCAGGATTACAGCTGCTTCCTTGTCCCAGATCACCATGGCCTACAAGAGGCATAATTCATTCAATGTTTATGTCTGGCTATGCTTATACAGCTGTAGATATGCATACATAAAAGGCAGATGGACAGAGAGATAAAGTGGTTTACCAAAGGCATTCTGCAATTTTTCAACACTTTTTGAACAAACTGCAGCTTTAATGGAACAAGAGCAAAGTAAATGATCTTAAGCTATGTAAAGCACAATATGGCTTTGTAATTTTTTTTTCAGTTGTACAATCATTACTAAAAGAAGAAGCCTGTTTTATTACTGAGAAAGGGGTCCTGTTATAGTTTTGCTTTGTAATTGACCATTTTAGTCAACGGCACCAATAAAAATTTCTCCGATAAACTTACGTGGCATGTTTGTAGTCAACTTGACTAAAGAAATACAATGATCATGGGGGAATTTATCACTTTAATACTGAAAAATAAAAGAACATTGATAGCAATCTATTTAATTTACTGTTATAAGTTATTTTATTTGTATATTAAGGGTCTCCCAGTCACGACTACTTTACTGGGATCAAAGTCTTCCATGGTTGTAACTACATTCAAATTCACCAGGGACAAATTTGGCATGTTATTTACAGTTCACACTGAAAAAGTCTGTATTTTTTTACTTAGTTTCATCTCCACACAGAACTGTGGAGTCTGCACGCTGCATGTATAGTGATCACAAGGTTCAGAAAAAAACACAGGCATATAATGCATGAGAAGAACTAACAGTGAGCTTTATTGTAAGATGGTAAGCAACCTCTGTAGGTCCTTTGTCTTCTTTCTAGGAAATCAGATACTTAACTGAGGGACCATCTCCCACTTACCAAGTTCCTCAGTCCTCCTTAGTTCAGGAGCATCTTTAAATTACTTCTTTCACTACAGAATATGTAGTACAGCTAGAATTTATTAAAGCTGGAATACCTAAACTGAGGAAGAATTTGCAATTTAGAAAGTGAGAAATAGGAAATGGTGTGTGGGTGGGGGGGGGAGGCATGCACACACATATTTATAGGACAGTCTGAGAGAAGTCCAGCAAGCAGTTACTTACCTGAGTACTATCACTGCATTGATTAACAGAAATGACATTTAGCAAAATTGTATAGAACTAGGAAGATATTTATCTTATTTTCTCCAAAATATCAAATGAAAAACAATGAGTTCATGCCCTTTCTCATCTTTTTGACATTCAAGTGTTCAGTTTTCTTCTTCACTGTTGTATTCATTTTATGTTCCCTCACTGATTACTTGTCAGATGAAAAACAAACAACTTTGTTTTAGAAGACAGGAGTATGAAGGGAGCAAAGAAAGGAAAGATGGCATAGAGAAAGCAGTGAACTGAAATTCAACACCACCTGCTGGCATAAGATTGTCTAAATTTAGTAACTCCTACAAGGTTAGAGGCGAGAATAGGCACAAATGGCTCTAATCGATCAGATTATAAAAAAACAAAAACAAAACACTGCAGGCTCGAAGGGCAAAAAAAAAAAAATCATTTCAAGTGGAGTTCAAGTCAGCATACCACTACAAGGTTGCAATGACTGATTGAATATCCTGGATGAAAGCCTGCCTCTGCAAAACCCATGTCAAATTAGAACTTCTTTCTTAGAGGGGATGAGTAGGTAAATGGTAAATAAAGCATGATGTATTTTTAGAAAAAAATGTATCTTCTAAATTAAATATTCACTACTGGTACTTGATAATTTTTCCTAAGACACACCAACAGCAGTGGTTTTAACCAAGATGTTTGTTTGCTTGTTTAGTGATATATTTTATTGGACCAACTGTATAGCTGAGAGAGATGTTAGACAAGCTTTCAGGCACAAAGTGTCCTTTTTGTACACCTCCTCTCCCAACTATGCAGTTGGTCCAATAAAAAGTATCACCACAAAATATCACCCCTTACCTCTCCTAGATTTTCTGGAGCTTCACAGCTACGACAATACTCCATATTGTAATCAGTGATTTAAGTTAGGAGCACTGGAATAATTGCAGAAACAATGACAGAAATCAGATTCTAATTTATCCTCATTTTGATTGATAAAAGTCTCTCCAACTCACTGCTCCCAGAGATTATTAGTATCACCTTTGGAAAACACAATTTGCCTTCTTCCTTAAAATGTGGCATAGTTCTCAAAAAAAATACTTCTAACCTGGGAGGTTTTGCAAGCTACTGCCCAACCCCAAATGTTGCATTTAGGAGCAAGATAGTCAACAAGTGAAGAAACACCTTTAAACACACCTATCCCTGCCAATATCCTGTTCTCCTCCCACTGGGGGTTCAAGCTTTTCATCTTCATGCTCTAACTTTGTATGCTGGCTTCCTTAGACTACCAGGTTATATTTGGTGTCCATGGGGTAATATCCAAGGTCTTCAATGGAAGATAACTTACACATTTGTCTCTTCATAGCAGTAAGTCACCTAGGCAGCCAAATTCTGCAGGAATTATGAAGATGTCAGGCTTAAGGGTGAGAGCAAGAGACATGACGCTTTTTATAGTAGAACTGAGGCTTTACAATCCGTTACTTAAAAGAGGACAATAATAATGATCTCATTGCTCTCAGAACAAAGTGAAAATAATTTCTTCAGCATTAGTGGTTTGAGTTGAAGCTCTAAGAAATCTAAGGTAAAAAGCAGCAGCAAATGGTGATTTTGATTTTGATTATCTTTTGAGGCAGTGAAATATAACAATGATGGGGGCTGCTATACAAATTTAGTATAAACTACATAGGGAATACAAGTGAGGCAGCATCCATGTTAAATCAGCATTTCAAGAACAGTGACTTTGTACTTAAGCAGTCAAAAATGCATGTAAATCTTTAACAGCAGTAATAGTAAATTTGCTAATCCTGGCAACATTCCCAGTAAATCATTGCACAATGCCCATGGGAAGGGCAGGGGGAGGAGGAAAGAACAGTTAAGAGAAAATCAGGAACTCTGATCCAGTTATGCCAGTTTTTACAACTGTTTCAAAGTGGATCACTGCTTCTTAGAAAATTGGAGAATGAGAGGAATATCTAGTGAAGGAGAAGACTTGAGACAAGGGTTTGTTTTCCCTATCATTTAAAAATGAGATTTTTTTTTCCTTTTTGTTAAATTCTGGTCTCAGTGATTCGTTTTCTGTAGTTTGCTGATCTTTAGAAAGAATGTACGTCTAATGGATAGTCATATTTGTATAAGTAAAAGCAGAGGTTTTACTGAATTGAATGACTTCTTTCTTTTGGTATCTAAATAAATTAAACATGTCTTAGGATGTTCAATTCCAGGGTCCTCAGGCCCAGGAAAAACTTGCATTGATTTCAATGATAGATCTTCTTCTAAAAGGGGTTAGGGATACAGTCTATAACAGAACAGAGGGACTGAGTGTGTATATCTGTGCATGTATGTGAAGCTGTTCACTTATACAAAGGGTTGTGGAGGTTGTACACATTTTGCATGAACTCACATGAATTCAGGGCATATTTCTTAACATGCTGAACTCCAAGCATGAGTTTAATGGGGTTGAACACATCTTAGTACAACCTTGGTATCTCTCCAATTCTGAGGGCAGGCCATAGGTCTTTACTAGCATGATGTTAATTTGTTCTATTGGACTGTTCTAGCAGTGCCCATTATACTAGTGGCGACCCTGGAAAGAGATGGCATGGAGCAGGGATAGGCAATTATTTGGGCCTGTGGAGTTTTGGTGAGCTGTCATGAACTGGGTCAGCACTCCCCACCAGCGCAACAGCTCACCAAGACACGTAGGACGCTCAGCCAGGCAGCTGGGATGGGGCCGCAGGAGGGTGGAGAGCAGCATCTGGGAGAGGGAAGGGCTGGTGCAGCCAAGGCTGGGATTGCAGGGTGATGACAGCATGGAGCTGGGGACCAGAGCAGAGCCTCGTTCTGCTGCCCATATGCCCCTGCAAAGGGTTCCAGTTCTGCGGGGAGGGGCATGCGGGAAGTGAATCGCGACTCTGCCCCAGGCCCAACCCCCTCACTGTCACCACACAGAGATCCCAGGGTCTCCATAGAGACCAGACATGACCTGCAAGGCATTTGACCAGGTGAACAAGATGGGGCCACAGGCAGGCAGGGAGCTGCATCCAGGGCTGGGTCTGGGATTGCAGGGTAGTGACAGTGCGGGGCTGGGCCCAGGCTCAGGGAAGAGCTGCAATTTGCTCCCTGCATGCCCCTGCCCACAGAGCCCGCATCCCTCCCAGGGCTGTGTGGGCAGCAGATCATGGCTCAGCCTTCTGCTGTCACCACCCCACAGTCCCACCCCATGATCTGGGCCTCACATACTCATCCATCTTCCAAACACTGGTCCCCACCTGCCTGCAGCCCCATCCCATCTACCCGGCTGTGCACCCTGCCAGGGCACATCCTGCTCCCAGTGATGGGTGTAGGGTGGACAGGCTGGGGTGCCCAAGCAATGGGGCTGGGTCCAGTGACAGCAGTGGCAGAAAGGAGCCACCACTGCCAGGACTGTCAGAAAGTGATTATGGCTGCATCACCACCCCAGCCCTGCTGAGCATCTGTAGGCAGTGGGACCAGCCACACACACCACAGCCTAGGCTGCCCCCTGCACCTGGGCTGGGCAGTATCGAGGGGCCCACCATGCACTAGACAAATTCCCTCAGTGGCCTGGATCTAGCCTGCAGGCCGTACTTCCTCCCCCACAGCACAGAGTCATTCTAACAGCTCTGCCAACTATGGATTCTCCCCAAGCTAGCAGCTTCTTTGATGACCATACCTGCTGGGTTTGTAACCCCTTTATGCAAGTTTCTCAGTTGAAGGGAGATGTAAGGATCCCCTGCTAATTCATGTTAGGTCACTGTCTGCTGGCATCTCAGGCAGTGGGGTCAGAAGCAAGACACCCAAGTTGTTTGGTGTGTCTTGCCAGAGTCTGGCACTAGCAGCACTTGCAGGATGTGCTGGGCAGCCTGAGAGGCTTGTGCTGAGCAACAGGGACAGAGATGTTCTGTAGAAGGAAGGATAAGGCCTCTCAGAGCCTGATCCTTCTTTCTACAGAGCCAGACCACCCCTGATTGCCTGTAAGGCACACCCCCACAGCCCCTTGCCATCACCGTGAACTCTCCTCTGTACCCAGGCCTAGGCTTCCAGGATAGCCCCAGAGTGGGTCACCATAGTATGCCCAGGCACACAGCCAGCCAGCTGGCCCAACAGCAAATCAGGGCTGGCTCCTGCATGGCTGCCTTCAGCAATCTCTAGCACTCTGAAAGGTGTGCAGAAGCAGTCCGCACTTTCTGGCCTCAGCCAGTGCATACAACTGCGTGCCCCCCACCCAACCCATGCCACAAAGGGTGAACATGTTCACTTCAGTCATGTTCCAATCTACGCAGCTTAGAAAAACCT